GCTTGTTGGTGATTCTTCACATAAAATAAAAAATTTATATCTTTATGTTTGAAGCCTGAAATGTGGCAAAAGGTTGAAAAGTTCAAGGGGGCCAAATACTTTCGCAAGGCACTGTATATGAGAACTTATAGTGATATAAACTGTATCACTGTATATACATAATAATGATCAGAAATAACACTGTGCTCCCTTAAACAATACTTTTGCAATGGAACATAAAACTTTAGATGAATCTATAACATTTTCTTCAGCCTGTTTCTTAGGTGGGTTTTATTTGATCTCTTCTAACTTTTCTCATATGTCCCACCCCTCAAAAAATACTTCAGAAAGGCCAATCCTCACTTATTTAAGAGGGGTCTGCTCTAAAAGGTAAAACTGGCATTCACACAGACTGAATGTTTAATGTGGACTGATTATATTAAGATTACATTCACAATGAAAGCAGAAAGATTAAAATACATTATAACCATATAGGAATAATTGTGGAAACTACATCTAAGAACAATACATGTTCAGTATATTTTAAAAAATAACTGCATCATGACCCATCAAATTCCATGTTGGCTGTGATTTGTCAATTGAGGCATGAGATGCTCTATACAGTGGATTGTTCCAAATGAAAATACGTGCCCTAAAACCAATACATAGTTGTCTTTGTCATTCTCTAAGTCTACTTTATAAATATGTAGGTCCTAGATAAAGAAAGCTGATAAAAGCTCATCATTAAATTCTTCTTTTTCCTTTTGGTCTTGATGTTTGTAACCTCAGGAGTGTTTGAATATTACATTTGTTCCAAAAACCCAGTCTTGATCTGAAAGGATTATAAGTGAGGCCAAAAATAGGACAGTTATTTGTAAACTGCATTAAACATTTGTTCTATAACTGGATCAATGCAGCAAATTTATACTACCCATTGTAAATGAACCTACATAGTTCCTCCTGCTGTCATTCATGGGCGTTTAAAAGTATTTTAGTCAATTTAAAAAGATCCAGCTACAGAATTTTTTTTGCCATTTTCAAATTATGGGATGTATTTTTAGGAAGAATATAATCAGATATTTATATATACTGTACAGCAAAGCAAAATCTACATGTACAGTACATGTAGGCTTTTAAAAGAATATGTATTTGGATTTCTGATACCGACCAAATGTTTTTGGTGTCGCTATATTAATCAATGTTGAGTGATCCTGATGCACTTAGGTGCCTTTAGTAATGCTGTATCATTAATGGGGATGTTTTTTGGGCACAGGAGATGAACTGACTTAACCTGTTGAATATCAAGCTTGTTGAAAGTTGAGAAAGAAAAGTGCAATATGCAATTTTTATCAAGAGAACAACACTTTTGTGCCCAATATTTTGTAGCAGTGACTGCGGTGGACTCTCCTACAGTAGATTAATCAAACAGATGGACAACAGGGATTTTTGCACAAAAAGGCTGAATGATGCACCATTTTAGGGTACAACAGACGAGCTGATGGGGAGGTCCAATTGTGATGATCTGTAGTGATTGATGGTGAACTGTGTGGCATTCCACGAATGAAGTCCATAGAGCTCAATTTCTGCCTTTTCTACATCATGAAGTGACTACTGTCAGGACAGCCCATGACACTCTTCGTGGTTGTCATGTAGCGATGGCTTCCTCGATAGAAGGGAATGTGACAGTTATCCCATGGGTGCCCTGCTTGCCAAATTTGAGCCCCACTGAATATATGTGGGATCAGCTGGGATGACCCATCGAGAGACCACTGAAAAGCAAATAATTGTGCAGACTCAGAGAAAAATGGGACAGAAACAGAATCGCATAAGACAGCATCTATAGACCGGTGCAAACAATTGTCACAGATGTACTGCTTTTAATGCTTCCAGTGGTGGCCACACATGTGACTTTTTTGGT